TGTGTGTGTGTGTGTGTGTGTGTGTGTGTGTGTGTGTTTGCTACTCTCTTGTAACACATTTTCTATTCTTCGGCACTCATAATTATGACCTTATTGTGTTGCAAGTGCCGTAAAACTTTTACTAAAACTAAAACTTAAACTAAAATATAGTGTGTTCGTCATTGTTCCTGTAACTCGAGTTGTATGTGCCCTCAGTCGAAGAACAGTAAGCGACGTCCTCGCATAGTAGACTTTCCACTTTCCACCCCACGAAGCCCGAAAACAGGCCAAGTATGACACACCGGGTTACATATTATTTTTCCTCGATTTCCATTGGCTAACATTTAGAGCGCCGCTCCGAGAGCTTTTCTCCCAGAAAGAGGCTATGACGAATGGAAAAACTACGCGTCTAAAATTAGCTTCTCTATTCTCCCCCCCCCCCCCCCCCCCCCCTTCGCAACCGAAAGGCCACAAGAGGCCATGCATGCAGAGGTTTTCCACCCCCCTACGCATTCCGGGCTTTTGAACCTCTCGGTCCAACGGATGTGGGAGCTTTATATAAAAGGGGGAAAGATCCGTGAGAAGCAAAGTCAGATAAGTTACCGCTTTAGAAAGAACAACCAGGAGTCTCCTATACCCACAAACACAGCAAGATGACAAGGATTAAGGTAGGACTGAGCTCTTTCTCACTAATTACGATTATAATATCTGATAACACCATTGTTATTAACCCATGATAATGTCAAAATATAATTATAATCAGTAACCTGCTTTTTTTCTTTCTTTCTCGTTTTCTTTTTTTTTTTTTTTTTTTTTGGTTATCCTTTTCTTTTCTTTTTTTTACTTTATTTTAAAATGTTTTGTTGGATATTGTATTATTGTATTTGTGCGACTAATAGAATAGAATACAGTGTCGAGGTTTGGTTAATATTATGTATTAATGTAAGTACATTGCCATTCTTTTTGTTTTATCTAATGCACGTGAAACTATGCCAACAACTGATGAAAAAAAAAAGCCTAGCATGTTCAGTAACCCCAAAATTTAGCTACCCGAATTATACCATGTCTTTCGAAAGCTATCCAGACAGACAGACAGACAGACATAGACAGACAGAGACAGATAGACACAGACAGACAGACAGAGACAGACAGACAGAGACAGACAGACAGAGACAGACAGACAGATAGACAGAGACAGACAGACAGACAGACAGACAGACAGACAGACAGACAGACAGACAGACAGACAGACAGACAGACAGACAGACA